TTGCCTTCCCAAACACCCACGATGCGTGCGTCGAATGCCACGGCACCCACGGCCACCTGGTGCTGCGCAAAGGCGCCCAGGTGAGACATGGTCTCCTTGGCTGAGCAGCTGCCCGTGCTGTGAGTAGGTGTCGTGGGAAAGCCGTGCAACTTGCAGAGAGACTGGGAGCTGGCGAACCCTACAAGTTTTCTGGGCTGGCCTAAGCAGGTTTGCTCGGAGTCCTTCAGACAGTAGCAACATAGTCTTCTTGCACCTGTGCATCCCTCTCAGATTCAGACAAGTCTCGTCAGAGGTGAGTGTGTGGCCGAAGTAGTTACTGGCCTCGTCGCTGAACTCCTCGGTGTTGCCAAGCATCCCCGATGCACCAAGCTTGGTGAGATCGGCGAGGTTGGCGACAATGCCACGGGATGAGCCCTCTTCGCTGCTGGGGTTTGTAGTAGTGCCCACAGAGCTTTGGCCTGCCTTGAATGTCTCGAAATTCGTCACGGCTACAGAAGGCTCCTCCTCGTTCAAGCTTTCGGGGCTGGCGATCTGGAAGGCGGCCACCAGCTGCCTCTCCTTGCCCAAACTGAGCGCAGAGCGTGGCACCACGGAGAGGTGGAGTGTGGTGTTGAGCTTCTGCTTGGACTTCTGCTGGATCTTGCTGTGCAGCACCTGAGCGATGGGAGGCATAGCTCCCGAGTCACAGCTCCACACTCCCTGTGTCGAAAGGGTTGCGGCATTGAAAGCCTGTGGGCAATCAGCCTGGCGCACCACATTCCGCACGTAAGCTGAGAAGTCGCTCTTCTGATCCTCTCCGGCCAAGAGGTCCTTGAGGTTTGCACCAGAGACTGCATAGCCCAGAATCTTCTCCAGCTTCGTCATGTCGCCCGAGTATCTGTCGGGCAGCTTGCAGCGGCCGGCTGCATCCAGCACGCAGGGAAGAATGATGTCGAAACTTCCTCTGAGAATGCTGATCATACCAACATTGCTCACACTCACCTTTCGCAGCACGTCGGTCAGGGTCTTGTGGTATTCATCTGCTCGGATGAAGACGAAAGCCGCGCTGTAGGCGAGCTTGGAGCCGAAGGTCAAAGCAAAGAAGGACTTGCGTTCCGTGTGCGCATCCATGACACCCACCACCGACGCCATGTAGACCACGCCATACAGCAGAAGGTGCGCAACAAGGCCAGAAGACAGGAAGGGTCGCAGGTTGCGGCTTGGCAGATCTGCGGGAGCTGTTCGTTCGTAGGCAGAGCACCAGTTCAACATGTCATAAGAGGCCCAGGCATACATGGCCAAAGAGACGACGATGAGGAACCACTTCAGGAAGGCACTCTCAGTTGCAGTGGCCACCCAACAGAAGATCACGTACACGTTGGTGACGATGAGTGGCCTTGACACTTCGCGCAAGGGACGCCCGAGTGTGCAGTAGCCGGACAGGATCAGCATGATCGGGACATTGATGCCCCACTCCATGTACTGCATCGTGTACACCGGGCGACCGGGCGTGGTGAGGCCGTCTGCACTCGGCATGACATGAGCGATGGTCCACTCGGCCCGCGAGAAGAGGCGCTCGGCCGTCGCAAGCACGCCAAACATCACAGCCAGCAGCAGGGTGGGCAAAAAGCGGCTTTGGAGGTGGGGCACCAAGGCTTGTGTCTCCTGGGCTCCCATATACGTGGCGACGAGGCTCAGTACCTCGTGGCCCAGCATGGCCACCAAAGCTGCCGCCGAGATGACGTGGTAGTACCCGGGGTAACTCTGCAAGTGCTTCGCGCACGCAGGCACTTCGTGGCAGTTTACAGGCGCAGCCACCAGCCAGCAGATCGCCCATGTTGCCAGCGTGACGGCCACCTCCGATCGGGAGTAATACAGTGTGTTGGATGGGCACCCCCACCGCCCCCCTGAGAACCGAGAAGCCGGAAATAAAGTACCCTCGAGTTATCGAAAGCTGGTACAAGAGTTGGGCCAAGCCACCCAAATGCCAATGTGGGAAAGAAGGCCCTTGCCCGCCATGACGTCGCTCTCGAGAGTGTTGAAGGATCTTCAGCCCAAATCGCTGATTGACGAGCGGTTTCGAGTGAGTCAAGCAGCAACTTGTCTGCAAGGATTTCCCATTACATAGAGCATTCCGCCTTCCGCCGGCCTTAATCAAAGCTTCCTGCAATTCCACAAGCTCGACGCACCCTGAAACACTGGGGCATTTGCCATCTCCAACTTGTTCAGACCCCGCGCACGGTCAAAGACTGACCTCCGCGGCTGGCTCGGATGGAAGCATCTTTGCGTCTGCCACAAATACCGGCAGCTGCTAGCTGTGTGTTCGCGGCATAAAGAACAAAAGCGATTGATCGCTGACAGGACTGGCGGCCCTTGTCATGAGCCTCTTCCGCAAGCCCGTGTCCACCACAGCAGTGACACCTGGAGAGTTTGCACCAGATCTCTGCCAAGAAAAATGATGATGACACATATTCCTTGCACTGCTGTGCCGAGATCTCTCGTGACTAGAACACATTAAAGTAGACACTTCCCTGCAACACCAAACAATCTATCCTACACTCATCTCGGCCGCAGACCTTGCACAGTAATAGAAGCCTCGGCCACATTGGTGGCAAGGATAACACGTCGCCTGCTGGGGTCGTTCGGTCTATGCCAGCGCCAGTCCCCACAACGAAGCTTGATTCACGAGCGGTGTCGAGAGGCAAAACGACCGGGGCTTGTCGTTTGTGCCTGACCTAAGCAGTCAACAAGCTCCCTTGCAGCAGCCCAGCCTTCCAAGCGGTCCAGCGCGGACAGCCAGGTCTTGAGCCTGCTAATGGATGCGCATGAGGTCTCATGCACTCGGAAGTCTCGGATGACGCTTGAAGCCATCATGGATGCGGGGAGATCTTCGTCGCATCTGCCAATCGTGCGGACAGTCCTGTGACAGTCTTATTTGTAGACGCTGCCTGAAGGTCCACCAAACGGTGAAGTGCTGTACACACAACGTGCCAGCCGATGTCGACTCATGGATGGAATCTGCCTCGCCATCCAGCGCTCCGTGGAGTGGGAGAACATCGATCGGCTTGGCCCTGGCATGAAAAGCTCGACAAGTCGCCTGTCGAACTGCCGGCGTTCAGGGGAAAACCGCAGAAATCCACTGTACTGAAGCTCGCTCTAACGGTCCACACGCAAACGGCTCGGGGACAGAGCATGGCGTCTCGAACAGCTCCGAACGGGCACAACATGCGGACGGCTTTCCGAGCCCCGGGCAAGGAGACCTCGGCAGCACTTGGAACCTCGCACTCGGAGGCTTAGGGCTTTAGGGTTTTAGGGTGTCGGGTTCAGGGTGAAGTTCGGTGCTCCAAATGCGAGAGTTTAGCGACTGCTTGAAGCCTAGCAACTCCTTGTTCAGCATCAAGGCTATACGATGAGTTGCTCCACTCAGCTTTAGCAGTCTCATGCTTCCTGGGCTCCGCAACGACCCCGCAGCAGAGGTAGACATGCAATTCATCACAGACTGCGAAGACCCCAGCCGAACTGGCACAAAGCAACAGCGCGCAAGACTGCATCGCCTTCGGAGGGGCTCCGAAACCACGAGCTGTTCCTTGCTGCCGCTTCTTCTTGACCTCGCCATGCAGCTGAAGGTGTCCCTCCAGCATAAGCCCCGCACTTCCAATACATGCAAACAGCTCGGCAGAATCGGTTCTGGGTTCATATGTTGCGTGCGTGACAGCTGCCATCGCGTTGCTGGAACTGGGCTCTTTTTTGAGTATGGGCCTTGGTCTTGGCACGCTGCTGCTCTGCAGCCAATCGGTCCTTCCGTGGACACATGAAGCTACTGTCATCTATCAGACTGATATGCACATCCTTTATGTACGTGCATGCGCATGTGTATGTCGACACCTATAAACCCAGGCAATTCTGCATGGGTAGACAAAAAAAGCAGATGCGCGCAGCTATTTTGGTGGAAGAATGCGTCAGTAGCAGCTTGCTTGGATTCGCAGGTTGAGAAACCTTTGCAAAAGATTCCCCGGGTCTGAGACGGATGTGAGCATGGACAGAATACACGGCCAGCTCAGCGCTCCCATTGGGGTTCGGCCTCCAGGTGCTTCTTGCATCGGCGGATCCTGACATGCTTGTCATCTGAACAGAACTCCAAATCAACCCCTCCATCCCTCCCACATGCCTGCGGCAAGCCTCGGGCGGCTTCCGAAATCTGCAAAATCTCTGGAAGCTGCTTGGAAAGCTAACAAACAGGAAAGAGTGGCTCTGGCTCTCCCGGCAGGAAGCACAAGACGTCTCCTTCGAGAGTTTCTGATCTAGGGCCAGGGTAAAGTTCAGGACTTCAGGGTACCAAGTAAGCTGCTTCAGTGAAGGTAAACTGATACTTCGTCATCGGGTCTCTGCTTACGCTTAAGTGTTACTTCGTGCTGGTGGGTTCTTGAGGCTTCTCACCGCCCAAACTCCGAAGCCCTGAACCGAAAGCTCTCCAATCTGCTCCTGGTGCTCCTGTCTCTTCGTTGCTCCATCGCAGTGCCTGAGCGGATAATGCAGCTCTGGTCAGCAGAGAGGATTGCAGCACCGTTTGAGGGTCGACCTTTACCAGGAATTTCATGGACCTGATCCCCAACACCCTTCTCTCATCCACCCCCAGGACCTAGATCCTAAACTCCACCTCAGAAAGGCCCTGGAAACTCTATCAGTCGCCGACCAAACTTGGACCGTATGTCACTATGATATGCTTTGTTCGATTTTGCGGAACAACAACATATGCAGTGGGTCGTAGATTGTTCAAGTGTGCTAGTACAGTACTACGAATTATGTGCTTCCATATTTGAGATGGATGTCATCCGACCCTGCTCGAGCCTCGCAGGTAGACTCGGTGACGGCTGCAGCCATGTCAGCCTGGTTTGTCTGCTATACTATATTAACAAACAACAACATGTTATAATCTATGATGTAAGATAATCTACTATGCTATACTATACTTGGACCCCCCAGAGTATGCAGAATAGTAGCCCTTTATGGGTCTTGGGCCATTATTTTTACCTACTTTTGGTGCTTTAGGAATTTAGGTCTTCACAAACAACAATCAACAATATATATATATATATGTATACGTTATTCCAGCAGGAGTTTCCAGCTCAGACAACATGTGTAGTTGTTCAAGAACTTTTCTTATATGCATGGAAACAAATAGATGCAACACTCTTGCAACATCCTAGCCTATAGTATGGAAAAACAGAAAGCTTCAAAACTCGGGCCTGCAGTGCGACGCTTTCTGTCTATATATATATATTGTAATGTAATGCAATCTAACATAATATACTATGCTATACTTTACTATACTATGCTGTATGACATCATTCTATACTCTTGCTTTGAACCCTGCGACTGCGATGATGACCATCCCACCGATACGGGTTCATGGTTGGGAGTTCGCATGTAAACACCAACATCTTGGCCGATATGAGAATCCAAATCCCGCTTCGCCTTCGTAAGAAACATCGAAGTTACTACAACGATTTGACCCGATAGTTCCGAAGGCTAGAGAGTAAGCCTGAAAACACAGGTTTCTGTCCCATCCTGCCTTCTTTTCGAAGCCTTGGGTCGCGCGAAGCAATCGTCGATCTCTGCCGGTGTAACGCAGCTCCACGTCGAACCTAAACAAGATAGATCCAACATGCATCGACATGCAGGAAACAAGGATCGCTCGCGCACGCACACACAGGCACATTTGCGCGGACGTCGATGTAAGCCGTTCCCTTTTGGTTTGCATGCAGAACCCACGCACAACGAAGAAGGCATGCATTATATGTTTGCTCCTGCGCATTTTTGACAGAAACAATGACATGCATACTTGGCATGCTTCCCCCCATGTACGGGCGGGATTGAAGCATTTCGAAGCCAAATCATACGGGACTTTCCTTGAATCGTGAATTCTGGTGGATGCGACGTGTGTCAACAATGGGACATGAGCGAACTACGCGACTCCAGAGCGGTCGGCGGAATATTCCGTGTGTGCTCGCACTAACCCTTGTCCATACTCCCAATGTCGGAGCCCCACACCTCACCATTCTGCTTGGGGAATAAACCTCCAAGAAGGCCGATAAACCCATCGTAAGAAAAACTAAATCGCCTGAAGCCCCTCACTAACCCTACTTTTCTCTACGAGATCCTCATCAAAATCCAGGTATCTCTGCCTCGTTTTACTCTAACCCAAACCCGGGATGACACCCGAAACCTCAAACCCGAAACCTTTAGCCCAAGTCTGAAGCCCTAAAAGCCACCACCCCACAACTTTTTTCCCCCAAAAAGGCGCGACACACTAAAAAGCGTGTAGGGGTTCAGGGTTAAATCCATAAGCCCTAAACCCTAAACCCCTGAAGTCTAAACCGATCCCTTGGCACCCCTGCTGCTTGCCCTCGCTGCGCAGGATCGGCGCCGGCTCGCTCGAACCAAGTCGGAGGGCCAAACTCGCCAAAGCGAAGGAACGAGAGAAAAACACAGGATAGGTTTTGGGGTTGAGGAGTTTTTTTCTGAGACTTTAGGGTTTATAGTTTACAGATTCAGAAAGGGAGGGGAAAAGCAAGGGGAGGAACCCTTTGGGCTTGGGACAGCCTAAAGCCGAAACCCTAAACCCTGGAAACAAAAACCTAACCCTGAACCCTGACCCCCTACCAGAAACCATGAAGACCAGGAACTCTCTCGCGCCTCTCAGCCAGGCGTGGGCTCAGTGTGGCGCTCATGGCCAGCAGACGAAGCGGAGGGAGATTTGCACGGCGCCTTTTGACTTTGAAGCGTGTGGGAACGCTTCTGAGTTCTCATATTGTATGATGTTACATACTCATATATATAACAACATTTTACAGTATAGTATATTAGGCTGTATCAATGATATTACCTTGAGAGCTTAAGCTTATCGGAAGGCTAAGACTCGCTCAGGATGCTGGCGGTGTCGGGAGTTGTCAATGTGGACTTCGGCGAGTCTGGCACGGATAACTTCTGGGCATGGCTGCCAGAGTTGCAGAGATGGG